CGGGCTGAGCCATACCCAGCGGGATTGAGCCGTGCCGAGCTGGGTTTTGCAGTGCCGAGCCGGGCTGAACCATACCCAGCCGTGCTGAGCCATGCCCAGCCGGGCTTTGCCCAGCCGGGCTGAGCCATACCCAGCGGGGCTGAGCCGTGCCGAGCTGGGCTTTGCAGTGCCGAGCCGGGCTGAGCCATACCCAGCCGTGCTGAGCCGAGCCGGGCCGGGCTTTACAGCTCCGAGCTGCGCTTGGTAGCTCCAAGGAGCAGCGGATACCGAGTCCGGGGGCTGCTGCTTCCTTCCAGGGGGACGTTTTGGGTTTGGGTGGCAGGTTTTGAGGATGTGTTTCCCCTCGGCTCCTAGCGGTGTCTTTTTTCCTTCCCTCTGTTTTGGCACCCCCTGTCCCGCGGGGCTGTGCAGCTCCGCTGCCCCGGCTGTGGTGCTTCAAGCGCGGGAGGGTTGAAGGGTTTGTTGCCTTGTCCCCGCCTTGCACTTGGAGCCTGGAGATGGGCGCCAGATTTTGTACTCACATGTTTCCTTGTAAATAAATATTCAGTAGTACGACTGAAAGGAATGGCACGGTAGCAGAGGTTGACGGGCCGTCTGGATGAAAAAGCCCATCAGTCTTTTTGGCACAGGAATCTTTTTTTTATTTCCTTACTTTCGAGACGCGGGAGCGAGCTCAAGTGACTGTGCTGCATCTAAGCCGTGCATTCTGCACCCCGTGCTCGTTTGCGTTAGTGAATGGTTCCTGCAGACAGTGACCCAGCGTGTGTGCTGCTCTGTGAGCTGTTCTCGCTAAAATCTCGGTCCCGTTTGCAAAGGGAGTATGAACAGGGCTGATGGAAACCAGCTCCCTTTGCAGACGGGTCCGATGTGCTCCTGGTAGTAGCGTGTTTTGCTGATGGCTCAGCTGGGATCCTGGTTCACCTGTTTCACGTGCCAGTCTGTGTATCGATGTACTTTTATTAGGGGAGTTTTGCACACCGTTTCTGTGCTTGTTGTGAGCACACAATGGGGTCTGTCTCCGTAAGTGAGTTTTGTTAAAGCTTAAACTGAGTTGCTCCTACCATTGTGCAGCTCCAGGTCAGCAGAGCCTTGAAGCATCTGCTTAGTATTAAGCATGTAAAATAGTCGCATGAAATCTAGCAGAGCAAATTCCCAAAGCAGAGAATACACTGGGAGGTATTCCAGAAGGGAGCTGGGGGTGGTGCACTCCTTCCCCGGGCGAGGTGGCAGGAACGCGTGCTGCAAGGAGCCCCTCAACACCCAGCCCGGCCAATTCCAGCACGATTGCCAGGAGAAGAAAGCAGACAGCTCTGGGATGTTAAAACCACGGTGATATTTGCAGCTCAGTGTCATGCATGAAATGTCACCACGCAGAGGAACCTCTTCTGTCTCGTTCTTACTTAGGTGAGAGGAATTACTGAGACAGAAGAGCTTCGTTTTTTTATTCCATTGTGCTGTTTCTCTGAGTCAACAGCAGGAGGACAAAACCCTGTCCCAGGTTGTCAGCCTGGTGCTTTCTCACTACAAAGGAATTAATTTGGTTGATTTTCATATCCTGAGAGTACCAACATCCAGGTCAAAATACCCCGGCTGTAAAGCAACAGGGCGCATTGTGGTGGTGTGGTGGGAACACAGCTCGGGTTGTAGTCTCCTGACTAAGTGGGATGGACTCCTGCGAGGTCTCAGTCTGTGGAGGAGAAGCCAACAGTTCTCCCTCCACATTCCTCTCTGTGTAGCCAAACCAGAGCCTGAGTCAGCGAAGCCACACTCGCAGCAGAGCAAGCACGGCTCCATGGTTGTGGCCAGGGCTGGGCAGCACAATGTATGTTTTTAAGCCCTGCCTCTGCCCGTGGCTTCCTGTCCTGAACAAGGCATTTAAACCTCTCTTCATCGTGGTTTCTTAGCCTATAAAAGAGGGAAATTATACATTTTAGGGCATATCTAGAGGGTTAATTCCGTAGTGCCTGTGGCATGCGTGGAGGGAAGTCATGGAAAACACTCATGGACCATCCATGAAAACCAAGTCCACAGCTCTGACCAGCAAAGTCTGCAGACTTTTTAATGGGGTCTGCAGTTTGGATGGGAAACATGTATGGATCCCAAAAAGAAAAAAGATGGAAATAGCTTCTTTTAAAATGAGGTGATAAATGGCTTGCAGAGTACATATCTGAGAGTTCAAAATGAGTAACTACTTCTAAAGTGAGTGGGATGACACCAGAATTGAGGCTTCAGCCCATGTTTGAGTGCCTTAATGCCTTAGAACCTTAATGCCACTATGCTGCAGTGGTTTGTGCCCCTTAAACCAAGAGTTGGATCCCTCCTCCAGCCTCAACTCCAGAAGCCCCTCCTAGCATTGCCTTCATTCCCTGTCCAGTGACAGGTATGAGGCAGCCCATCATCCATCCTGGTTAGGACCATCATCCACTGTTCTGCTGCATCCATGCAGATTTTTGTCACAAGAACAAGACTCAGGACAGGACAAGATCTTCTGCTCCAGTCACGTGGGAAGAGCTCAGCACAGGGTAACACTGAAACGTGAGATCCCCGTTTTCTCAGTCCTTGTTTGCATTGGCTCTGGCTGTTTTCTCAGAGAAATTTCACTCTGATTTGTAGCTTCAGAATTTGACTTTAACACATTTTACAGCACTGAAGAGGCCCTGACACAAGAGCTGTAAGCCCTCTCCCAGGCTGAACCTGGCCAGCAGATCCCATTTTGCTGCCAGATTTTGCTTTTCTTTCATTCTGAGCTCTAGCACAACTTTATTTGGCTGTATGCCTCCCCACATTCACCTCCAATTTAGGACAGGGCAGTAGCCCACAGGCACCAGAGGAGACATGGCCGGGTGCAGGAGGCAAGCCACAGTCTTAGCAGGCCTGAGGACTTCTGAGTGCTGGTAAAAGGGTCTCCCATCCTTTGCAATGGATGGTAGAGCTCCTGGGCTGTCCTGCAGTGTCACCTTTACACCTGGATCACACAGAGCTTGTGCTCCTCAGCCTGACTTGCTTGCCCCTCCTCACTCTCCACACCTCTTCGTGAAAGGCTGTAATGGCAGTGCTAGTTCCTGAGCTAGCCTGTGTGCCAGTGCTCACATTAACTTCATAATTGTCCTCCACCCCAAGATTTTTTTTAAACAACTGGAGAGGAGGACCTTATTTACCTGGGGCTCTGCAGATCAGCAGCTTGGTTTATTACAGCCAGTGCTAGATCCCTGCAGTGGGAAGGGTTCTGCAGACCAGGACACTGCGAGCCTGTGTGTGCTGCTGTGCCCATGTTAAGGGCTCTGCTGGTGGGGTTAGAGTTGAGAGCTGGAAAGGAATAATCAAGCAGTTTTGTACAGCTGTGAAAGCATGAGGAAACCTAACCTGTGTTTTTTGTTAATATTTGAGGACAATTGGGAGTCCCAGAGAGGAAACATTTAGCTCTTATTTTTCCTGTTTTTATATTCACTCAGCTAGTCGCTGAGTAACATTCTTCTCTCCAGGGCACTAGGCAGCTTTCTCTAAGCCTCACAATTCCCCTTTCCCATATCATGTGGCCAGTCCTGCTACAGCTGATTACAAGTGGGGAGATAAACGCACCTGGAGTTTCTCCCATGTTCTCTAGAGAAGCCATTGATCCTGTGGATCTGTAGTTGTCACCTGAGTCCTAATATTTGAGAGCCACCATCCAAAGCCAGCCGTGGTGCAGGATGTGAAGACTTGGCCTTGGGTGTGTGATGAGACACAGAGGATTCACAAATGCTTTGGTATTGGTGACTCCCATGGGACACGCATCTGAGCTCAGCCAAACCCAGGAATAGTCTGAACTGGACAAACTGGATAATCTTTACTGTTAGTCCTCTGGAGCTTGCTAGTTATTTAAAGCAAATGTTCTCCTGGCCTGATAAGTTATTTATTACTGTTCTCTGTGCATTTTTTTCCCATTAGCACAAGGGTGTGCACAGTAAAGACAGCAGTTTTTACTGTGAGTTCTGTGATAGGTTCTGCCACATTAGAATTCAAGGAAATCTTGGTGTAACCCCAGTTCATTCTTTTCTCCTTTCCAGGGCATCTGTGACCAGAAGAACTTTTGGGCATAGTGGCATTGCTGTGCATACGTGGTACGCCTGTCCAGCACTAATAAAGTCTATCTGGGCTATGGCCATTAGTCAACATCAGTTCTACCTGGACAGAAAGCAAAGCAAGGTAAGCATGTTGGAGGTGGGAAGTCCAAGTTGTGGGGGTTAAGACCTTCTCACTTCCTGCAGTTCCAACAAGGTCCAGTCCAGGTGATGGCTTGTTTCCTGCCTTCCCTTTCCACTTGAGATCAGAAAAAAAGGAAAATAGACTCAAAATATCTCCTGGCTTTGTCCAGATTGACAGAATTTGTATCAGATCCATGTCCCTGGGAGTGAGGATTGAGGGAAATATTGTGGCCGAATTGGAGGAGCCAGAGTTTACAAGCAGATAGGGTCATGTCCATGTCTGGGTGGTTTCCGCCTATCTTCTGGTTCTTGAACTCCGTGGTAAAATTAAGGCAGCTTCCAAAAACTGAGTTCAAAGTGGCTTCACATTCCTACACCTGTTTGAAACCTTGCTGTCCCTCACTTTTTACTGTCATATCTTCCTAGCAATGAGGGGTAGGAATATTATTTCTCTCTGCACAAAATCTCACAACAGAAAGGCAGGATGCTGACAGCCTGGTCTCAGAAGGAACTGTCTTGCTCTGGTGCTACACAAAGGGCCACTCAATTCACAAAAGAAATCACCTTGAAACCAGAGGAGTTTGTGTTCTCCCTCTGATTCCTTTCATCAGCAGTAATTTTAGGCATACCCAGAGCAGCAGAACATTGCTTTGATGACTGTGAGATCACTTGGAGACAGAAGAGAGACTTCTCATGCACGTCCCTCTCCATATGAGCATGCCAGTGTAAAACTTTACAGAGCAGATGGAATCTGTGTTGAGTGGGGACCTTCTTATGCAACTGCCTGCATTGCCCCCCACCTCTGGTGAGATGGCAGGAATGTGCAGCAAGATGTTCCTCCAAATGGCTGAAATGGTTTTAACATCTTGCTGTAGCTGAAAGCACTGCCTGCATTTCCAGGCAGGGGCTGCTCCCTCCCTTGCACAGCTGCTGGCCCTGTCAGGTCCTTTCATGAGCCAGTTCAGTCCACTAAACTGATACAAAAATACTTATTTTCTGTTTGTTGTTGTTTTGTGTTTTTTTTTTTCTTTGCTCTGTTATTTTTCTGCCAGTTAAATCAATTGAATTGGTTTGCTGAAATTATGTGAAGGGCCATAAGTGAGCTGTTAGTCCAGCTCACTCAAAACCCTTCTGACATTGCTTTCCCTGTCATGATCTCTGTGACTTTATGGTTAAGTGGATGCCTTGAGCAGACCACATGGTTTCGCCCATGTGGCCATGTCCCATCTAACAAAAAAACCCACCAGGATTCACCATAGATTGAATTTAGAGGCATAACTGATTTCCCACCCCTGCCTAAATGCCAGCTGTAAACATGGTCAACATTGCACGCTCCCCCTAAACCAGGTAATGCTTTCCTGATCCCCTCCTCTGCTTAGCAGCACACCTAGGCCACTGGTAGCCCTCTCTGTTTTGCTGTCAACAAAAACAACTCTGCAAAAAACCCAGAAGTTTGGTTTTGTTTTACTTTTAGCCAGATGGATTTGCTGACCTAGCTGCAAGGTATTTAGGTCACAAGCAACCAACTAACAAAAGGAGATGCCCTCCTCCTCCCATTTCTTTGGGAAGAAACCGGGTCTCTTAAATGCCCAGGACTTCCCTTCAGTGATTTCTTTTGTTGTTGGCAGATTGTGTTTCAATCTGATCTCCCCTCTCTCACACTCTTAGAGACAGCACCACCCACTCACCCTCGTTTGTCAGCCTGTCACGGCTGTGGCCATGTCAGTGTGCTTTGTCACAATAATCCCAGTGGTCATGCTGGGGCTTTGAAGTCAAGGCATACAAATATTTTCATCCCTTTCTCTTAAGGGAGCTGGTATTTTAGTCCATCATCTTCGTCTTTGACGTGACTCTGTCAGGATTGATAAATCTATCAATTATAATTGATCTGTTCAATTTATCCTGCTGGTCAATTCAGGACGTTGTACCCATGTGTGGTTTACTACTTTTGAAAAGTAGTAAAACAAGCCAGAGTGAGGCGATATGAAGTGTCTTTGTTTCAGCTCTTAAGGGCTTAGACAAACATTTATTTGAGTTTCAGGTCGCATGGGTTTGCATCCCCTTAAATCTCAGTCCCCACTGCAGTTGAATCCCCAACTTCAAAGCAAAACTTAAGATATTGCCTCTTTTCATGTCCAAACTTGGCATTTCATATCATTTTGATGAAAGAAAAATAAAAATAAGCTTAGAAGAAAAAGCCTGCTGGAGCTCTCTGCAACTGAGCCTTCACTCCAGTGATGTAGATAAGATGGCAGGAGATATGACACAGTGATAAAGCAAGCTTGAAATCTATGCTGCTCATAACCGGGCGCCAGTTGGATATAGGCCTTCTGCACAGCTCCACTGGAAAACCCCTTCACTTGGGTTTTTAGAAGAAATAAAATCAACTTGCCTGGATTTTGACCCTTTTGCAAGGAAGTGAGGTCCCAGCCTTCTTTGCAGCCTCGCTCTGCGTTGAACTCCTGCCAGCTCACTGAGTTCCCAGCGTCTTGCTCCCTGCTGATCTGTCTCCTTGCAAATGAAGCATAACATGGAGACAGAAAAGATCCTCAGCTTTCTGAGTGAACATGTCAGTGTGCAGAACTCCAGTCAGCTTCCCTTTTTTTTCAGGAGACAGATGCAGCAGGACTTCAAGGCATGTCTTTGCTCTGATGACTGCACTGAGTCAATCAAGTGCTTGGCCTAAAAGCCTTGAGAAGTCCCTATTTGTGGGAATTTCCAGCAGCGTGTTCCTCCAAGCACAAAGCTTTTTGGCTGAATGAACCACTAGAAAATAGGCCAAGGGTTTAAAAAAATCACCTGCAGCAAAGCTCCATCACTGCAAGCAAGAGGGGTAAATTCAACCCTTGTGTCCATCTACTCTTGCATTTCACTGATGGATTTTTGTTTACCCTCTGACCCTGTCAGAACAGCGCTGGGAATCAGTTTGGCCTGGTGCTTTGAAATGACTCATGAATGAGCCAGTCTCCCTCCATGTAAATGAGACTTGGCAGGTCTGCACTAAGTGCTTTAAAATTTTTGAGCCTGGAGGGAGTGCAGGGCCCACGGGAGCGCTAATGGGATGTAATCTAGCTTTCCACTGTTGTGCTGTCAGAACAGCCTAGCCCAGGCCTCATGCTGACTGCTGCTCAGTGGCCTGGA